ACGGGAAGGACATTGCAATCTTCCAGCTGGGGCCCTGCATGAAGGACGCCGGCACCTCGCCGAACTGCTTGTCCAGGTCCTTCGCCGCCTCGCTCGGCAGCGCCGCGGGCCGCCGCAGCGCGGTGGCCACCCCCTCGCCCTCGAGCGCGCGCGCGGGCGGTGATGGCCTCATCGAAGTGGTACCGCCAGCGCTCCACGGCCCGCCCCAGCGAGGCGGCGGCGCTGCAGCTAGCCTGTCGGACGCAGACTCCGCCGCCCCACGGCGAGGCATCGGAGGCGGAGACCTCCGCATGCCACGGGGCTGCCAGGTGCGCGGAGAGCAACGGCAGCAAGTTCCGCAGCGCGCGGAGCTCCCAGCGCACCGAGGCCCACAGGGGGAGGGCCTCGTCCCGCGCAGCCTGGCAGAAGCGGTAGCTCGCGTCGAAGATGGCGAGCGACGGCCGGCGCAGCAGCATGATCCAGGCACAGTGCCCGAGGAGGACCTCCACGATCTCCCCCCGCGCAAACCCCCGGGCAAGCAGCTCGTCGATCGCATAGCGCACTCGCCAAAGGCGCTTCGGGGACACGCGGACGCAGTGCGACGCCCCGCACAGCTCCAGCCCCACGAACGAGCACCTCTTGCTGGCCCGCTGCTGCTCGTGCACTGAGAAGCCGAGGTTGACCAGCTCCGACTCCACACGCGCCGCGGCGGCGTCGACCTCCGACTGGCTGGCGCCGAGCACCAAAAAGTTGTCCACGTAGGCGGCGGCACCCAGGCCGTCCTGCTCCCCCAGCACCAGCCCCTCGCTGCGATCTCGGACGTGCCGTGAGACTGGCAACCCCGCCCGCACCAGGGCGGACTCCGTGACCATCTGACACAGGTGCATGGCCCAGCTCCAACCCATGGGCAGGATGGTGAGCTGAGGGGTGAGCCACTCGCCACAATCCACCGCTGCGCCGTCCAGAGAAGTGATCCCCACCATGCCCGCGCGGACTCGCCCGAGCTTGAAAAAGGAACACAAGCCTGCTGGGATCCGCATCGCGTAGAACGCGTTCTCGATGTCCCCGCAGGCGAAGTACAGCGGGGTGGTGGCCTCACTCTCCAAACGAGAGAAGGATGCGGCCGACGGCAGCTCGGTAGCAGGCGCCTGTCGAAAGTGCAGGTTGACCAGCCTGGTGTCGAAGATGAGCCTCTGGCGGCCCCCCTTCTTGCGAACCGTGAAGGCCCCCAAAGTCGGGGCCTTGCCATCCCACTTGCAAAACTGGAGCATGCCACGACGGTGCAGCTGCTCAAGAAACCGCCCGTACACCTTGGGGTCTCGCAGCCCAAAATCAGAGTAAGGAGCACGTAGTCCCAGTTCAGCGCGAAGCTGAGCAGCCTCCTCCGGGCTTCGAAGCATGTTGGCCTCCCAATCCGACAGCCACGCCGCGTCGGCCGGCTGGAGGGCGGACTCGAGGGACAGAGGAGCCGCCCCCTCTGCAGGCCAGGAAACTTTGTCCTCGCTGTAGGATGCCAAATCCGCCCGCTCCATACCGTACACGGGGCAGGCGCCGCAGAGCTCGCGAAGGCTCCCGCGGGGGCACACGTCCTCAGGCGGCCCCGGGAACGTGGTGTACTGCTCCCGGATGCGCTCGAGCGCCATGTGCTGCAAAACTGAGGCACGACGTGGGCGGCTGCCGCTGCGTCCTGCCAACTCGTTGAGCGATCCGATGCCGAGGTTAGCCCACTGCAGTGAATGCACCAGTCTATCCCGACGGCGCCCCACAGCACGGCAAGCCGGTTGTCGGGCAGGCAGATCACGAAAAAGAGGAAGGGGGAACACATCTCGCTGACGACTGGGGCCCATGAGACCACAGGAGCGCGATGCTCAAGCCTGGAGGAGCCAGTGAGGGTCGGCTGAGCTCCCTCACCAGCGGGGCGAAGGGACGCCCCGTTCTCGTCACGTCTTCCCCTTCTTGCCGCCGCCGCCGCCGGGGCCACCGCCCCCGCTGCCGGCTCCGCCTCCGCCGCTGGGTGCGGCAAGCTGCCTCTCCTCACGCGCCTTGCGGCGCTCCTTCGCGATGCTGCTCTCGGCCTGCAGGCGCTCCGCCACCCACTTGGTGAGCTCTGGACTGACCATGAGACCTCTCGTCGAGCCCATGTCGGTGAAGAAGTACCCTTCGTCCTGCTGGAGCCCGCCTCCCCCCCCGCTGTGACAATATCTTGTCCTTGTATTTCTCCTCGCACAGCTGGAGTTGGCGGGCCACCAGCTCGCCGCAGGCGAGGTTGGCGCCGTCCAGCTGGTCGTAGGTGCACATGGTCTGCATGAGCTTGCTAAACTCCGCGCGCAGGTGCACCACGGGGTCATCGCCCCCGACGGAGGCTCCCAGCGACGCCTTCCACGCCACGTGGTGGCCCATGGGGGTGCCCCCGTGCTCCATCTGGTACTCCGCCACCCACTGGAAGGTACGCGGCCCTGGGACGGGCCAGTCAGGAAAACAGGTGGATCGGTTGCTCTGAACAGCTTCCCGAAACTCTCGATATCGCAACCCCTGTCGATCATACCGCACAGCAAGGGTCCGTAGATCGTCCCCGCCTCGCTCGCCCCCCACAGCAGCTCCAGCGCCATCGCCTTCGACTGCACCAGGGGGTCCCCCCAGCGCGGCGGCGAGGCCAGCCAAGCCGCCCGCGGCGGGGGCAGGCGCGGCAGCGGCAGGGGCCCCTTCGCCCGCGGCCACCAAGGCGCCGGCAGGGGCCACGCCCGCGGCGCCGCCCGCGCCGGCTGCCGCGCCAGGGGCGCCCGCGGCGCACGCCCCGGCGGGCCCCTGCAGGGCAAGGGGTGCTGCGCCGGCGGCGGCTCCGCCACCGCCCAGGGCGGCGGGCAGGCCCGCGGCCACGCCGGCACCCAGCAGCCCTCCAGCAGCCCCGCCACCTGCGCCCCCGCCTCCTGCACCGCCGCCCTCGAAACACGCCATGGCCACCTGCGCCTCCTGGAGCACCCCGACCATCTGCGGCGCGGTCGGGAGGTGGGCGAAGTCATAGTGCCCTCGTCCCCCAGGCGCTGCCACCGCCAGAGCTCCGACACCTCGAGGCTGCTTGAGGTAGTATCCCCGCAGGTCGGTGTTCGCGGGCGTGTACTCCTCGACATACACGTCCATGTCGGGAGTGAGCACAGAGAAGGCGCCCGGGGTGCGAGACGAGCCCACCAGAAGAAGCCGAGCATGAAGAAGGGGAGGATCGACATCGTACTCAACCCAAATCTCGTCCCCAACATTCATCGATACTGGCCGCCTCCCCTCGGCACGCGCGGGTCAAGCGAGCCTGGGGCCGCCAAGCCTGGCCTCGACGCGGGCAGGCCCGACGAACGACTCGCGCAGGAGATGGCCCGGCGGGCCCAGCCCAGCAGCCCGCGGAAGAACTCGAGGGCGAGGAGCACGGCAGCCCCCACCACGAGCTCAAGGGCCGCGCGCCACCAGCCTGGCGACGCCGAAGCCCCGGTCCCGCAGTCGCAGCGGCACTCGGGGCAGGGGCTCGGGCACACAGGCGCCCGCGAAGCCAGGCAGTCGCCCAGCGCCTCCTGCAGCGTGCCGAGCACCTGCTGGAGGTCCCGCGACGCCGCGGCGCCGCTGTCCACCCCCGCCTCCGCGGGGCTGGTCCCAGGCGCCTCCTCCGGCACCAGGGGGGCGGGCTGCGCCGCGAAATGGCCCAGGAACGCACCGGCGAAATGCGCGATGCCCAGCCCGGCCAGCGCGCGGGGGCTCAGCATCTGGAGACCTTGCGAGAGAACTGAGCCAGACGGTTTCGGAGGATAAACCCCCGCGGCACTCAATCGCTAATGAGATGACAAGTGAGACACGACCATCATCCTACTCAATCATCATCATCCTCATAATCACCATCATCATCAACATCATCACCAGCACCACCATCACCACCATCATCATAGTCACCGTCATCATCAGCATCATAATCATCATTAGTATCATCACCATCATCACCATCACCATCATCGTCAGCAGTATAAGTACCGTCATCATCATCACCACCACCATCATCACCATCACCATCATCACCATCATCACAATCATCACCATCATCATAATAATGACCATCACAATCATCATCAGCAGCATCATCAGCAGCAGCAGCATCCTCCTCATCGCCATCACCATGATCACCACCAGCATCATCACCATCATCAGCAGCAGCATCATGATCATTATCTTCAACTTCATCATCGTCATCATCAACATCATCATAAATGAACTTGTCATCATAATCATCATCATCATCATCAAAATCATAATCATCACCGTCGTCATCATCATGCCCATCCTCATCATCATCAGCAGCAGCAGCATCATCGCGATCATCATCATCATCGTCATAATCATCATCGTCATGAGCAGCATCAGCGTCATGATCAGTATCCTTCTCACACGTCTCATCAACATCCTCCTCATCGCCCTTCCTACACGCCCTCCTTCTCACCCGTACGCCTAACACTTATGCTACTATTGCATCCTCCTTCGACTCAATCCTCCCCCCCTCGTCATCATACTCCTCCACCCTGACCCTGATTTATCCTTATTCAACCCATCCCTCCTCCTCCTCCTCCTCCTCCTTCCACCCCCTCCAGCTCCTCCTCGTCCTCCTCCTTGCCCCTCCTCCTCTTCCTCCTCCTCATCCTCCCTCCCTCCCTCCCTCCCGAAACCGCCGAATGCATCCCGAAAGCATCCGAAATTCCCCGAAACACTCGGGCATCCAAAGGTCTACGACGACCTCAAAGTTCCAAATCCCTTGTCCTCGCCACACCTTGGCGATCAACGTTCTATCTCAAGCCCTGCTCACGCAAAAAAGAAACTCTACGAATGGGCGGAGTGGAGAGGGCACGGATACCCCAGCCAGGCCAGGCTCCTTATACAGCCTACCACCCCTGTCGGCCAGTGGGGGCGCAGCAGCAGGGGTATAAATCGAACGTGAATCGCCACTCCTACCCCTCAACCCTGCCACTCCGTCTTCTCCGCGCAACCGTCGCAGCCTGCTGCGTGAGCTCCGACGGGTTCATCATGGAGGGCACGTCTGGCACCACGATCAGGCTGCCAGTGATGTGCACCTCGAAGGAAGGGGGGAGAGAGCGAGCGCGCGCGACGTCGGCCCGGAGGCCGTCCAGTGAGAGGCGCGCGGGGTCTCAGCCCCTCAAGAAAAGGACGAGGGGAAGGAGGGGGGACTGAGGAGATTGAGGAGGAGACTGCGGAGAAGGAGGAGGAACGAAAGAATGAGGACAAAGGGGAGGACGAGTCGAAACCGGAGCCGGGATCGGAATCGCCATCCCCTGCCGGACAGGAGCCCGCCCCGCCGCGGGGAGGGAAGGGGGGGTGGCGCCGAGGCGCTGCGCCTCGCCGCGGCCGGCCTGCCTTTGCGAAGGGGGGGGAGGCGCGAAGAGGAGGTGGGCCGAGGGGGAGACGCCGAGGCGAGCGCCGCTGCCGCGCCCGAGCACGGAGCACGCAGGCACGCGCCAAAAGCGGCGACGGCGTGGGCGCCCGAGCCCCAGGCGAGGGGGAGGAGGAGGAGGAGGAGGAGGAGGAGGAGGAGGAGGAGGAGGAGGAGGAGGAGGAGGAGGAGGAGGAGCCAGGTGAAGGGGGAGGGAGGTGGACAGGGGGGCGGGACGGGGGGGCGAGGGCTGGCGAAGCCAGCCTGGAACATATCCCTATCCCTATGCTGGGCATCTCCACATCACGGTGCCAATCTTCGGGATTCCCTTATTTTGTGATGGCGGATCCTTAAGATTGTCATCGCTTTTTGGCGTGTCAATCTCAGCGATAGGGATACGTTCGAGGCTGGTAATAAATCGACAAGCGACCGGACGAGGGGCGGCCGGCGAGCGCACGGGAGGCCGATGCAGGCGCGCCCGCGAAGCGCACGAGCCCGTCCCCGTCTGCGCAGGGCGCGGGGGGCCGCGGTGCCTCGAAAGGCTTTCCAACGCCATGATCACGCGACAGCCACTGGAGGAGGAAAGGAAAGGGGAGAGGGGGAAGGAGAAGCGGAAGCGCGTGGCGGGGCGGGGGAAAGGGACGGGGGGGGCAACAGGGAGAGGATGAGAAGGGCGGGAGAGAAGGATCAAGTTGGACGTGTTCGGTCCCTGCTGACACTGCACTGTTTACAGATGCGAAGCAAGACGATTGCCAGCATTGGCTTGCACACGCAAGCGCCACGTTCCGAGGCAGCAAAATAGAGGAGGCGACTCCAGGCCCACTCGTGCTTCAACATGCTATGAAAAGGGCAGACGGAGGGGAGGAGGAGGGAAAGCTTGAGCGGAAATGGATGTGGAGCGTAGGCTCCGTAACAATTAGCGGCCCCCGAGAGCACACAACACAGTTTCGTAAAACCCATGTGTGATATAAGACGATGGCCAACACTGGTTTGTAGATGCAAATGCCACGCTCCGAAGTAGCGAAAGAGAGGAGGCGCCGCCAGGCCGATTACCATCTTACGCACTGGCCGTGGTCGATTTTCTATCAAAGACCCGAACAAGGGTTTATCCTGCAATGCGAACTCCCGGTTTCTAGGGGGGCGCAGCTGTAACGGTTGGGGTTCAATGAAAAGGAGACAGTAGCGAGCCTGCGAAGATTCGAATCGACGACGGCTTCAGTGGAGCGAGGAGCCAGCCAGCAGCAGACGCCAGCACAAACGCTGGACACCTCCCGGCCAGCGCCGCGCGGCGAGCGGACGCGCCCCCAGCCGCGCCCCCCAGAAACCGGCGGGGCGGAGGGTCGCTGAACACCTGCCGCCTGTGCCCGCGCAACGCCGCCAGCCGCGGGCGGGCCCAAGTCACCCCAACCTGCGAACCGACTTCTCTTTCGGCACGGCCGCCAGTGCTAACATAAATCCGCGACTGCTTCTTCGCGGGAGCGGTGGCCCGACAAGCCGGCCCCGCGACGGGGCCCGCCAGGCTCTGAACTGCGGGGGCTGATTCCCAACACCCGCGGGCGCTCAGCGGCTCAAGCAGGCCCGCGCGGCCCGCACAACACCGAAAAACGTCGAGCTGCCGATTGAACTGTCCGAAGCGACTTGGGGCTCAAGCTGGGCTTCCCAAACGCGCCTCTGGCCTTTCAAGGAAAGTCACGAGTGGCCGCGGACAAGGTGGAACACGGGAACGCTACGCCCACCCCACGAACGAGGCCCGCGCCAGCCCCCCCCCCCCCACACGACGCAATCCCAAGCGGCCTTCCGACAAAGACCCAAGGCGGCGCGATCTGCAACATCGAATCGAATGTGCGCGAAACCCAAACTGCTCTCAACTTCGGCGAACACGCCGCCTGCTCCTGCACATAGATCTGGATAGACCTGGCTGCGACGGCTACGCCTCGGCGCCTCACGCGTCGCCGCCTGCAGCTGTCTCACCAGGGCGGCGGCCGACTGCGGCGACTGGGCCTCGGCGGCATCGCCCCGCCCCCAGGCCTCGCAGGCGCGCGGCCCGTCGCCGCGCCGGGCGGCGCGAGAGGGCGCCGGGGCCCTTCCGCCTCCACCAGCTCGGCCCACCGAGGCAGCAAGAGCCCGCCGAACTCGGCGATGCCGCGCGACCAGCTGGGACCTCGGCCCAGTAGCGGGCGCGCCTCTCGCACCTCTCGGCGCCGCGGCTGCCGGCGCGCCCGAGCACCCGATGGACCGCGGCGACGTCGCGGACGCCGGCGGCGACATCGAAGCTCGCTGCCCCGCGCAGGAGCTGGCAGGCGCGGACGCTGGGCATCCCCGCCAGCTCCGCTAGACGCGCGAACCCCGCGCGGAAGTGACCCGCATCGAAGCTCAAGAGCCAGCCAGCCGCCGTCGCCCATCCACGAAGCACCGCCAGGGCACCGCCGGGCTTCTTGGAGACGGGGTCGTCGAGCAGCATGGCTTCGTCGACCTCCCCTGCCTTGCCCACCGCGCCAAGCTCGCCGGGGAACAGCAGCAGCCCCGTGCGTCGGCCCCCGGCCGACGGCAGCAGAGGCACGGGGGGCTCCCGCGCCATCGCCGCCAGGTCCGACGGCAGCCAGAGGCGCGTGTGCCAGGCCACAATCGGCGCCAGAGTCAGCTCACGGCGCCCGCCCCAGGCCGCCGCGCCGACCAGCGCCAGGAGGCCCACCCGCGGCAGCGGGGCCCGCGCCCTTGCGGAAGCCAACGACGACGTCGCGCGCGCGGGGCAGAAGGCCCCGCCCGCGCCTGCGCAGCTCGGGCCTCTCGAAGAGCGTCGCCGCCAGCAGCTCATCGCCCTCGTCGCGGTTGGAGCCTTCGAGGATCTCCTGGTCCAGGAACTCGGCGGTCGCGACGTCCAGCTCCTGTACGCTTCGCGCCGCCGCTCTCCTTCGACGGCGCCACGCGTCGGACTTTTCCATCGCCGCCCAGCGCAGACTCTGCGCGGCCGCCGAGACGCGGCTCGTCTCCGAGAACGCCTAGCCCCGCGCCCGCGCCCGCCCGCCAAGCGACGAGAACTTCCTCTTCCGCGCCCGGGCTCGCACGGCGCCAACGGCTTGCGCCCGAGCCCTGAGGCCGAGCCCGCGCGAGCGACTTGCAGGTGCCCCTGGGCTCGGCGCCTCTCCAGCCACTCGAAGTGCTCGAGGAGTCGCCCTCCGACGGCAGAGGCCAGGGGCGCCCTGCGGCGCGGCGGCGTCGACGCGCTGCCAGGGGCCGACAGGCTCGCCTAGGGGCCCGCCAAGCCAGGGCCCGCCCCCAGCGGCAGGCCCAGGCGCGGCAGGATGCCCGCGGCGCCCGGCGATGCACGAGTCCACAGCCGAGTCGACGGGCCCCCTCGATCGGCCGCCGCAGCACGCGGCGCCGAACAGAACCAGACCGAGGGCGGACCCTGAGAGACACAGGCCCATGGAGCTCTGGGACTCGCAAGGCGGGATCACGACGTTCGCGATGAGCCCGCGTCGCATGAGCTCCGCATCTACCCCCCCCCCCCCCACACTCCCTCAAGCGCCAGCTCCTTGCCCCCGCTGAAGACCCCGACGCCGTCGACGTAGATGTCCACCGCCGTGTTCTCGCTTGTCAGCTTAGGCCCCCTGCAGCCAGCATCTTGGATGATCTGGCCAATCGCAAAAGCCTGCTCAGAAAACTGCACCCCCCCCCATCTCCTGGCAGAAATAGAAGCCCCACGACGCGCCCATCGGAAGGGTGGAGTTTTGTTCCGATCGTTTTTTGCCGCTGGCTTTCTTTTCGCTCGTTTTTTTTCTCACTCGGCTCCACTACTGAGGCTATACGACTGCAATCTCCTACTACTGAGGCTCTACTACTGAAGCCATCCTAGGAAGGATATACTACTGAAGCTCTACTGCTGCAGCTCTACAACTTTACAACTGAGGTTATACTACTGAGGCTATGCTACGGAGGCTCTACTACTGAGGCTCCACTCGGGAAACTCCACTACTGAAGCTCTACTGCTGGGGCTGTACTGCTGAACCTCAACTACTAAACCCTCGCTGCGGAAGCTCTACTACTGAGGCTCTACGACTGAAGCTATGTTACTGAAGCTCGAATACTGCAGCTCTACGCAGGAGGCTCTAACACTGAAACTCTACGACTGAGGCTCTACTACTGAGGTTATACGACTGAGGCTCTACTACCAAGGCTCTACTAGAGATGCTTTACTACTGAGGCCCTACGACTGGAGCTCTACTACTGAGGCTATACGACAAAGGCTTGATTACTGGGTCTCTACGACTAAGGCTCTGATGAGGCTCTACTCGGGAGGATCTACCACTGAGGCTACGACTGAGGCTCTACTACGGATGCTATACTACGGAGTCTCTAACACTTCAGAACTGTTACTACTGAGGCTTTACGACTGAGTCTGTGCGAATCAGCTCTACTACTGAGGCTCTGACTCTACTGCTGAAGTTATACGACTGGGGCTCTGCAACTAAAGCTCTACTACTGAGGCTATAGAGCACGGCAATAGGATGTACTAGGGAGGCTCTACTGGGGAGGCTCTACTAGGGAGGTTCTACTTTGGTAGCTGTACTAGAGAGGCTCAACTGGGGAAGTTCTAGTAGGGAGGATCTCCCAGGGACGCTCTACGATTGAAGCTCTACTGGGGAGGCTCTGCTTGGGAGGCTCGACTGATCAGGCTCTACTGGGCAAGCTCGACTAGGAAGTCTCCACGACTGGGACTCTGATCGGAAGGCTCCACTACTGAGGCTCTACTCGGGAGAATCTACTACAGAGTGAGTCTCTACTGGGCGGGCTCTTCCAGGGAGGCTCCACTACTGAGGCTCTACCAAGGAGGCTCCACTGAGGCTCTACAAGGGAGGTTCCACTGCTGAGGCTCCATTATTGAAGCTCTACTACTGGGGCTCTACTAGGGAGGTTCTACTAGGCTCCACGATTGAGGCTCCACTAGGCAGGCTCCACTACCGAGGTTCCGCTACAGAGGCTCGACTACTGAGGCTCGACTACTGAGGCTCTACGACTGAGGTTATACTCTTGAGGCTCTACTACTGAGACTATACTAATGAGACTCCACTACTGAGGCTATACGACTGAAGCTCTCCGATTGGGAGTTTACTACTGACACCCTTGTGCTAAGACTCTACTACTGCGATCCAGTGACCTGAGGAGTCATCCACTGCCCCAGCGGCTGCGCCCATTTCACATCTCACAAGAATCGCGTCCCCATGGGGAACTCCTCCGAAGGGCCCAGGAATCCATACGAATCCATTGGAATTACTGGGACTCATTAGCAATCCGTTGGTATGACCAAGAACCCGCAAGGATACTCCTGGACCCCCAAGAATCTTCGAGACTCTAGGAATCCTCCGGAAACCCTGGGGAGACTCCGGAATCCTTCATGACCCCGTTGGAAAACCCAGGAAGCCTGAAGAATCCCCAGTGACCCCTGGGAAAACATAGGAATAACTGGGAATCCCTGGAACCCTTGAGGGTCATCAGGAACCCGGTGGAATCCATCAGAATCCATTGGAACGGCTGGGAATATCCAGGAATCCTTCGGAATCCTCATGAATCATTAAGAATCTAGGACCCCCTCGAAATCCTCACGAATCCCTGGGAATCCATAGGAATCTATCGGAATATTGAGGAACCCCTGGGATTCCCAAGGAACGTCGAGGAACCCTGAGAACTCTTCAAGATTCCATGGGGATCTGCAGGAACCTATAAGAATCCCCGCAACCCTTCTGAATTCTCCAGAACCCTTGGGACACTCCAAGAGTCTTTTGTAATCTCAACGAAACCACCTGAACCACTAAGAACCCGCAGGCATCCATCGGAACCCATGGGAAACCCTGGGAACCCATAGGAACCCGCAGGAATCCATAGGAACCCGTCGGGGCACACGCGAAATTTCAGGAATACTGGGAAAGCCGTAGGGATCCAAATTCACCCATACGGATCCCTAAGAATCCTTAGGAACCCTTCGAAGATCCATGGGACTCTTCGGGGATGAATCCGTAAGAAGTCGTTGGAATCCATCGGAATCTGAAGGGACCCCCGAGAATCACCAGGAATTCTCCAGGCACCTATGCGGATGCCATGAGACTCCTCAAACAAAACAAAAACATATGGAGCTCCTGCGGAGTTTCCCAAATCTGAAGGGGAACCCACACCCACACCCACACCGCAACGGGGCCCCGAAGGGGCCCCGACGGGGCGTGGGTGTGGGTGTTGAATTGATGGTTGCTGATTGCTGGAAGGAGCCTCAAACCCGGTTCGTCGTCCAAGAACAACAGCAGCAACCACAACAACAGCAACAACAACAAAACAAAACAAACAAACAACAAACACAAAAACAAAAACAAAAACAACACCAACAACAACAGCAGCAGCAACAATAGCAGCAACAACAACAACAACAACAACAACAACAACAACAACAACAACAACAACAACAACAACAACCATGCTCATGTTGAGAATGACCCTTCCGGTTTGTTCGCGTGGCACTTAACATGTATATCCCAAAGCCTCGATACCCGCCTTCTTCGTCTTCGATCGCACCCCCTTCTGGGTACATCTCTCTTACCTGCCACGCGCACGCAATGCAGTCCCTCAAACAGGAAAAGACAGGACGGAAGAAAAAGGGAGGGAAAAGATGAAGCACGGGAGACATTAGCACGAGGGCGGCCAGGAGCACAAAACACGTGCTATAACCCGACGAGCACATCGGGCGGGCAAACCCAGGCGGGCGGGTCGGGAGGGCAGGCCCAGGCGGCCAGGTCGAGCAAGCAAGTTGCTGAAGCGTGACTCCTGAATGAACCGCGAGGAAGTCTCGAGCCATAGCTTGATTCCCAAATAAATCAATCGAAAAACCAAAGCGAGAGCGCGATTCCGGCGTAGGCTGTGAGGACGTCCCGCGCGAGAGCGAGATTTCGAAATACATTGTGAAGAAATACCAGGCAGGAGAATGCTGTTGTAGCCGGGAGGGCAAGGGACCCTTTATGAACAGGAACGTTTTCTGGATACCAGAAAAAATGCGGGACCCGAGAGGGGGACACTTCAATTAAAAAACACAATGTGCATCGGCGGGGCGGTCAACAGTGATAATTCAAAAATGCGAACTCAACATCAACTATTTCACCCGAGTGCTCTATGGTTCTGCATGCAGCATTCATCCATCATGATAGTTGACCCCTCATGGTGGATTTTTCTTTCAAACGGGGGTCCGATATTCCCTTGCCTTGATCTCCCGCCCGAGGAGGTCTTGGCAACACCTTTTCCGAGGCACTTGAGCATCTCCAGCCCGGATGGCACATCGCCTTCGCAATCGCCCTGCCCATGCCGTGCTTATACACATCACCACGCCCGAGTGGCCTAAAACCTTTCTGGGAGAGGCCCCACAAGTTCTGGGAGCGTTGGAGAAAACTCAGAGCATCTTAGAGTTAGGTCGGGCCCGTCCCCCTACAGGGGGATTTTGGGCAAAAACTTGAAAATACTCCACAAATACTCCCCAAATGCTCGGATATACTTTAAAAATTGTCCCCATTTGTTTTAATTATTTTTCAATATTTCCCCTGTAGCGGGACAGGCCCGACTTGATCTCAGAGAAGCTTCAGAGCCCCTGTGGGAAACATAAGGGCCCCTGGAAGACGTTCGAAAGCTGAGCTGGAGGGCCGCGGGGCCTCCCGCAGGATGCCTCGAGGCATGATTGCGAAAGGCCTTGAGCGGACGGGCTTCTGGACCTGGAGGAAGGAGGGAAGACGAGGAGGAGGAGGAGAAGGAGGAGGAGGGAGGGAAGACGAGGAGGAGGAGGAGGAGGAAGGAGGGAAGACGAGTAGACGAGCGCGTTCCACTACTCACGAAACGACTACTCGCAAATGGCCTGGATCCTCCGCGGAGGATCTACGGTA